CCGCCGCCGGCCATTTGGTCGGCGGCGTGGTCGGCGGCGCGGGTGTTTTAGCACAAATTTTAAACTTAAATCGAACGGCAGACGCCTTATAGGTAGGCAAAAAAAAATTGTCTCAGCAAATTTTTCAGAACATTGCCAACTTTTTAGGTTTTTTGGACAGTAAACATTGTTTGTGAAATACATATTAAAGCTCATGCAACAATAGCGCAATATTTACGTATTTGTCGTTTTCAAAACATTTTAAAGCCGAATTTCAGTTGTGGACGCCGGTCACGCCGCCGCCGCCGCCGCCGAGAGGTGCGTCGGCGTCAACGCCGGCGGCGCCGCCGCCGCCGACAAATTTTAGGCCAAACGCCGCCGCCGATAAAAATCCGGTCGGCGCTCATGTCTATCCGCAGCTGCCCTCTCCTTCCCCTCTCCATCAAGAGGCTGAGCTGGTCGGCGTGCTGCTTGACTCGAGGGTGATTAGCTGTGTGCCGGTTATGCCTCCACCACCCTCTGCCTCCACCACCCTCCTGCTTCCACCCCTCCCGCTCGCCTCCTCCACCCGACCCCATTGTCTCAGCCCCGGGGGCTCCGGGGGCGCCACACACTGCAGGGCAATCATCATCCGACGGCACGACAGACGACACTGCTGCTGCTGCTGTTGTCTGTTTTCGTTTTCCTCCTCTTCGTTCAGTTTTGTTGTTGCTTATCTCCCAACCATGTACTCCACAGGCCTGCCCGTCACCTCCGATCCGCCGCCGCGCCGTCGGCGTCGTCACACCCGCCCCGCCCCACTCCACCCCGCCCCGCAGAGGCAGGAGCGGCACGGGGGCCGGAAGAAGTAGCGTGTGTGTCGAGTGTCACAACGACCCTCATACACCAAAAACTTGATTCACTCTCTTTTTCTCGGAGGGAACTGCGTGTGTTTTGTTTTTGTTTGACTCGATTTGACTCCATCTTCCTCCCCCCCAAGCGTCGTTGTCCTGCAGGACAGAGCGGGGCGCTGTGGGGTGCGTCTCTCTCAGTCTAGATCCACTCCATCTCTTCGCCCCGCCGCCACCCGCCCGCGCGCCCCACCGGTGCAGCTCAGCAGACCACCCGCGGTGCGCGGAGGCGGATGGCTCGGGCTCGGCCTGTGTCTGTGTCTGTGTGTACCTCTATCATTCTTATCCTTCCGCCTCGGAGGGGCAGCAGCGGAG